ACACATAACAAAGAAATGGTAAGAGCTAACACCGCTTCTAGCTCTTACTGTTGATGTTGAAGTCAAATGAATATTACTGATATTCTTATTACAGTAACTTTCTATTTAGGGGGAGTGTTTGGTGATTGTGATGCTTTAAACATCCGGATAATGTTCTTGTGACATACAGACTTACCTGGCACGTCGATCAGCCGTTTATAGACATTTAGGAAGGCCGTCTCTGACTCTTTACTCCTCTTACTCAATGCATCAATCTAGAAGAGACAAGTGTGAGAGAAAATCACTGTAGCAATGATTTTAAACACTCGGCTCAGGGAAGGAGGAGCTTGGAACTGAAAGGTGCACTAAGCATTATTTGAAAACACACATGTAGCCAATCAGCAGCAGGGGGCGTGGCTAGTAATGATAGCAGAGATATCAAAAAGGGACAAAATGATGTTTGGGTTATGAGCATGTTTGTTTTAGTGCTTTCAAATATCAACAAAGTCACTTATGGCACTGTCAAAATACCAAAATAGTTAAGCGTATCCTTTTTCTGGGATCCTTTCATAAATCCTAACACAGCAGTATGGTACCAAAATGGTGGAGCTAGTCCTGTTTCTGAACATGTGCAATAAGCCAGGAGAATGACAACATAGGAATCACTATTTTTATATATACAGTGACAACCAAAACATGACACTGTAATAATATAATGAATCATGACTGACCCGAACTCAAGAAAAGCTTGTTGTCTTTTTTTTGTAACATGTCAAGAAGAAGAGGATCTGCTGCATGTCCTCTATTGTTGTTTACAGGGCCTTTGACAAGTCAAGTCTATGCATGGAAATTGAAAAAGGCGCCACTTCCTTTCTTTATTTGCAAAAGATGCATTGAACCTTTTTTACAACACAGTGATGATGTGTTTAACGATCATCAGCATTTTAATTCCTCGAAAGTTTTTAATATCTTTATTATATATTTTTTTATACATTTTAAATATATTTTTTAAAAGTATGTTCATTTATTAAGCGATACTTTGTAGTCGGGGTTGGGCCGATAAACGACATTATATTGAATCGAATCGAATAACAGTGATAAGCTATGGACTTTTTTACTCTATATCGATGTAAGAGCCAATCGCACAGCAGAAATGTGCAACGATGGGAATCTAAAAGTATATTAATATTAGAGATGTACCTAATTTTCAGCCACGGAAAATATGTTACGCCATTTAATGGACCCCTCTAATCTTTAAGGCCTCAGGCATGGGCTACTCTTGAATCTGGTATCGTTAACAGCTTATATTGAAATACATATTGTTATCGTTCAATATTGTAAACAATTATATTAAATTGTAATAATACAATTTAATATATATACATTTATATTAAAATGTAATAATATACATTTTGTATTATGTTATCTTTGCATCTAATTACAAAAAATAATTACTGCTTATGTGTTTGTAATGCAGTGTCTATGGGGGCAGGACAGAAATTTCAGCCAGACGTTGTTCTGGCTGCCTCACAGAATGTTTGTCTTTCTTTTGGAAGTCATGAAAACACAAACATGAAGCTTTTCTTTTATTATTTGAGCAAATAGGAATACAAAAAATTACTGTTGTACTCTCCCATTCACTGCGATCTAAGTTTACCCACCTATGACGAGTTCTGCTACTGAGATACCCAGAAAAATGGCTCATATGGCTCATTTCTTCTACAAGCTAAAAAAACGTTGATCGCAACCTTCTGGCGTAAACCACAATGACCAAGTGTGTACAATACTGTTGGCAGTGGAAACGCTAGCCTGCTCAAAGTGAACCGCAACAAACTAAACTCCACTATACTGAACTGTACATTATATACTGGTTTCATCTTTCAAAGCCCAGATCCAGTGCATTAAATAAATCCTACATTTCAGTGGGATCAAGACTCACCTCAGCCTGAAAACTCTTCAGCAGCGGAGCCACAAGCTTCCTCAGATCCTACATCACATAAGAGCACACACACTGTTAGTCTGTGAGCTGGAAAGCCAGAGGGGCTAAACGCTATAAAATAGTTATGAAGTAAAAATAACTCTATAGGCTGCTTAAAAGAGAGAGTTGACCTCTGGCGTGTTCTTCTTAAATTCACGGCTCTGGTCAATGAGCTTTTTCCTGGACTGCTCGCTGTCATCCTGCCGGCTGGCCAGTAGTGTGGCAGTGCTGTCTAGCTCTCTCTGGAGGAAGTCAAAGAATATTAGAGCAAAACAAGTCAGTCTGAATTTACATGTCTTCCAAAATATTACAATAATACAATCAAAAACAATACATTAAGAAAATGTTATAAATATTAATCTGGTTTTGTCTGACTTGAATAAATAATCATAAATTATATATATATATATATATATATATATATATATATATATATATATATATATATATATATATATATATATATATATATATATATATATATATATAGATTGAAATATTCAACTGGTATTTTTCTCATACCGAACAACATCTGGGCTGTGTCTGAAAGCTTAGACAGCTGACTTGTTGCCTTGCTGTCCTATCAGGCAGTAGAGCTGCTTGCAAAATCCGATTATTTTTTAACAGGAGATGGTGCTTGGACTTGGACCAGGACTTTGGACACCCCTGGGCTAATATTTAACAACAGATGTCGCTCTAGGCTAGTTTTTAACATCAGATGTCGCTCTAGGCTAGTTTTTAACAGCAGACGACGCGCAAGGCTAGTATTTAACAACAGATGTCGCTCTAGGCTAGTTTTTAACAGCAGACGACGCGCTAGGCTAGTTTTAAACAGCAGATGGCGCACTACGCTAGTTTTAAACAGCAGATGTCGCTCTAGGCTAGTTTTAAACAGCAGATGACGCACTAGGCTAGTTTTAAACAGCAGATGACGCACTAGGCTAGTTTTAAACAGCAGATGACGCACTAGGCTAGTTTTAAACAGCAGATATCGCTCTAGGCTAGTTTTAAACAGCAGATGTCGCTCTAGGCTAGTTTTAAACAGCAGACTGCGCTCTAGGCTAGTTTCAACAGCAGACGACGCTCTAGGCTAGTTTTAAACAGCAGATGTCGCTCTAGGCTAGTTTTAAACAGCAGATATCACTCTAGGCTAGTTTTAAACAGCAGACAGCGCACTACGCTAGTTTTAAACAGCAGGTGTCGCTCTAGGCTAGTTTTAAAAAGCAGACGGCGATCTAGGCTAGTTTTAAACAGCAGATGGCGCTCTAGGCAAGTTTTAAACAGCAGATGGGGCTCTAGGCTAGTTTCAACAGCAGATGGCGCTCTAGGCTAGTTTTTAACAGCAGATGTCGCTCTAGGCTAGTTTTAAACAGCAGATGGCGCCCTAGGCTAGTTTCAACAGCAGATGTCGCTCTAGGCTAGTTTTTAACAGCAGATGTCGCTCTAGGGGAGCTATTAACAGCAGACGGCGCTCTATATATAAATATAAATAAACGTGACAACCATCCTTATACTGTGTGATTATTACCATTGATAATGTTGCATTAAACTAGATAAAGCTGTTTGTGAAGACAAACTGGGATGGTGGCTTGGAAAGCATAGTCTGAAAAACCTTTTAGAGGTTTTTGAAGTCTGAAAAGTTGCTAGAATGCTGTTATGTAGTTACTAGAGTATTTTACAGTAGGTGGTTGATAGAATGATGTTGCAATGTAGTTGCTAGAATGCTGCTATGCAGTTGTTAGGGTGTTGCTCGGTCTTCCTCGGGTGCTCTGGGTTGTTGCTAAGTATTGTTTTTGTTGTAATAAAGTCAACAAAGTTGAACAGAAATTAGACAAATAAACAGAAATTAGATAGATAGTGCTACACATAACACGGAGGACCAAGAATACTCAAACACACCCATTTTGTTTTTGTTAGTTGGATTTTTAACAACCACGTACATCCTGCAAAAACTAAATATTTGGAGTGACAGCAATAATTAAACACAAATTAACTATATAACATGTAGAGGACAGATTATTAGTTCTGTTTATAGACATTATAAATTAACAAAATGTAAGTTCTTCTGTTTTGTGTTGTCTGTGTGACAACTTTGGGCAATGTTTACATCACAGCAGCTGACTGACCGAACAAACACAATCAACAACCGGTAAATAACTGATGCTAAAAGCAAATTCGTTTGGCAGCAAAACAGACATGGCTGATGAAGGCGAACAAAATGCAGATAGTCACTGACCTGCAACTGAACCAAGTCAAAGCGTTTCCAAAACTGACACATCGACATCGCGCTGGCCGCCATCTTTCTTCCTCATCTCTCACGACAGGACGCGTCGGCAGATGCAGATGCTGTTTCTGATGCACATGCGTAGTTCTGTCGGCAAGCGGCGCTAGGGGGCTCACTTCTTTTTTGAATTATTTATTTCAAGCAAAAATATAAAATGTTTATAATACATAAAAAAATGAATAAAGCATTAAGCGACCATTCTTGCACACGTTTGTTCACAAATGTCTATTATTTCTTATAGTTAGCTGTGGAGTCAGAGCAAACGCTACTATGGTGAAGGATAAGCTCTTGTTAATTATTACTGTACGTCACATAAACCCTGCAATCTGATTGGCCAGGTAAAGGAGACGCTCTAATTAATATTCATGAGATACGCCGTCGCCAGAGTAAAGTCTAGATGGGATACAGCTACGAATACACACGTCAAAATATATTTTTTAAATTGACACTGTACAATAATATTGAATATTTTTACATTACTGTGATGGTTGGATTTAGTGATAGCATGTGGGTAGGCGTTAATAAAATTCAATTTAATGGGTAATTCAATAAATAATACGATTAATAATCAGTAAAATTAATGTGTTTACATTACTGTGATGGTTGGGCTTAATGTTTGGATGGGGGTAGACGTTAACACGATACAATTAATGGGTAATTCAATATCTATTTCAGATCATTATCGTTAACATCCGGCTGCAGCTGTATCCCTTCTAGCAACAAGAAGTTAGTACACGTGTCGTTCACTTCCGCTGTCTTCTGCTGTGTTTCCATGTGTAGAGGAAAGCATGGAGGAAAGGGTTGATCTGGATTTAGAGGATTTCTCTTCAGAGCCGTTTTTGGAAACGTTCTTGAAAGAGATCCAGAATGAAGACGCTGTTTTCCTCGTCGGGATATTTGTAGCATTGGCGCTTGTGATTCTCACTATCGGTAAGAGGAAGCAGCTGCTTTACAGTCAGATGGCCGACGTGCTGTTTTGTGTATGTATGATATAACGCAGAAACGTGATGTAAAATATATAATAATTATTATAAATTATTATTTATTATTGTTATTTATTGTTATCATTATTATTATTACTATTTTCACCTGTTTGCAGCATATATGGCTGCACAAGATACGTTATTTTCAGATTTTCAATTTAAAGAAGACACCCACCAAAACAGTCTAAAATATATTTATATTTTCGTAATATTTATAATAACCTATTGATGTTTAATTAAGTGTAACGCTAGGCTTTTATTTACTTTTAATATTTCATTTTAATATAGGAAAGTGGTATGATCACAACACTTCATTACAGTAAAATGTCAAGATATGTGTACAAGTCCCCTTATTTATAAATTTGTATTTAAAAAAAACATAAACAATGCTTTTATTATGATTTTAAAAATGCAGTTTTATTTTAATGGGACATGTACACATATTTTGACATTTTATTGTAATAAGTCTACTGTGAATTATTAAAACTGTTTCAATCAGATTGTTAGTATTACAAAATTTATGGCATTATTTTGTCTGTTATCAGTCAAAAAAAGACAAATAGTATATAAATAAGTGAATTAAAACAAACAAGGAGTACAAACCAAGCACTAGATTTGATCATTTAAAAGTAAGGGACTGAAAATTAGTAAATCTAATAATTTCCACAAATTTTGTAATTCTAACTCTCTGATTGAAACCGTTCAAAGAGGGAATGCCTATTTTAGGAATTAAATGTAAACACACTCATAAATAAATAATTAAAGAATATGATATACATGTGGAATTGGTTTTACAGTGCAATGCTAACAATTAAAACGATTTATTAACAAATAATCTGACTGTATTACACATTACTGTATGTATACAAATCTGTTCAGTGGTGGATGTCAGCATCAAAATGGCATTTCACTAAAATAATCTACTATGAAATGTACTAAACATATTTACAGAGACAGGAGCTTTTGGAAGAATTTATTATATTTAGTTCATGTAGTATTTCTTATGTGACAATTGTTGGAGACTATGAAAAAGAAAAAATGTTGGTCTGTACAAGTGATCTGACGTATTAATCTTTGTTATTTAACAAAAAAAACAACAACAACAAGTAGTTAAAATCATGGTGTTTTGACAGCTTGGTTTAAATACAAAATCTGAAACTTAGTGTTTCTTAACTACATTAATTTCTTGTACCCAACACTATGGACCCTTTTTCATTCTGAAGACTAAAGATTTGCCTAGAGTTTTCATGGTTTGATTTTTTTTTCTTCTTCTTCTTTTTTTTTTTGTAACCCTAAATGTTTAGTTTTCTTTGGGAATTTTTGGGGCTCCAGTAAAGTGAGGAATGCAGTGCTGTTGCTGGGACTGTGTGACTCCGGGAAGACTCTTCTGTTCACTCGAGTGAGTAATTGTGGAGATTCTCTTTACACAGCATAAACGTTTGTACTCTTTCACACTATAAACTCGAGTTTTTGACTAAATCTTTTGAGAAATTGATTCTGTATCAATTCTGGGATCATTTATTTTATTTAAATTTGCACCACTATTTTTTCTTGAATCGATTCTGAGCTTATTTTTTAAAAGCAGATGGCGCTGTATGATTTACAACCGTTTACAAAAACCACTTGAACCTAAAATATACATTAATAAAGGTTTAGGAGAGGTTTAAGTTGTGAATTAGAAGGGTTTTCACAGTGAGCTGTGTTTACCTTTATCTTCTGACAGAGCGCCGTTTGCTGTTAAGAACTAGTTTTAAACATTGTCTGTTGTTATAATTTAGCCTAGAGCGCTGTCTGCTGTAAAAAAAAAAATAGCCTGCTGTTATAAACTATCTTAGAGGTCTGTCTGCTGTATAAAAACTAGCCTAGAGCGCCGTCTGCTGTAAAAAAAAAAAAAAAATTGCCTGCTGTTATAAACTATCCTAGAGTGCTGTCTCCTGTTCTAAACTAGCCTAGAGTGCCGTCTGCTGTTTAAAATTTAGCCTAGAGCGCTGTCTGCTGTAAAAAAAAAAACTTAGCCTGCTGTTATAAACTATCCTAGAGTGCTGTCTGCTGTTTAAAAACTAGCCTAGAGCACAGTCTGTTGTTATAATCTAGCCTAGAGCAGAGTCTGCTGTTATAATCTAGCCTAGAGCACAGTCTGCTGTTATAAACTAGCCTAGAGCGCCGTCTGCTGTAAAAAAAAAAATGCCTGCTGTTATAAACTATCCTAGAGTGCTGTCTCCTGTTCTAAACTAGCCTAGAGTGCCATCTGCTGTTTAAAATTTAGCCTAGAGCGCTGTCTGCTGTAAAAAAAAATTAGCCTGCTGTTATAAACTATCCTAGAGTGCTGTCCGCTGTTTAAAAACTAGCCTAGAGCACAGTCTGTTGTTATAATCTAGCCTAGAGCACAGTCTGCTGTTATAAACTAGCCTAGAGCGCCGTCTGCTGTTCTAAACTATCCTAGAGTGCCGTCTGCTGTTATAATCTAGCCTAGAGCGCCGTCTGCTGTTTAAAAATTAGCCTAGAGCGCCGTCTGCTGTTATAATCTACCCTAGAGCGACATCTGCTGTTTAAAAACTAGCCTAGAGCACCATCTGCTGTTAAACACTAGCCTAGAGCACAGTCTGTTGTTATAATCTAGCCTAGAGCAGAGTCTGCTGTTATAATCTAGCCTAGAGCACAGTCTGCTGTTATAAACTAGCATAGAGCGCCGTCTGCTGTTCTAAACTATCCTAGAGTGCCGTCTGCTGTTTAAAAACTAGCCTAGAGCGCCGTCTGCTGTTAAACTCTAGCCTAGAGCACAGTCTGCTGTTATAAACTAGCATAGAGCGCCGTCTGCTGTTCTAAACTATCCTAGAGTGCCGTCTGCTTTTTAAAAACTAGCTTAGAGCACAGTCTGTTGTTATAATCTAGCCTAGAGCGCCGTCTGCTGTTAAACTCTAGCCTAGAGCACAGTCTGCTGTTAAACACTAGCCTAGGGCGCCGTCTGCTGTTATAAACTATCCTAGAGTGCTGTCTGCTGTTTAAAAACTAGCCTAGAGCACAGTCTGTTGTTATAATCTAGCCTAGAGCGCCGTCTGCTGTTTAAAAACTAGCCTAGAGCGACCTTTGCTGTTAAACACTAGCCTAGAGCACAGTCTGCTGTTAAACAATAGCCTAGGGCGCCGTCTGCTGTTATAAACTATCCTAGAGTGCTGTCTGCTGTTTAAAAACTAGCCTAGAGCACAGTCTGTTGTTATAATCTAGCCTAGAGCGCCGTCTGCTGTTTAAAAACTAGCCTAGAGCGACCTTTGCTGTTAAACACTAGCCTAGAGCACAGTCTGCTGTTATAAACTAGCCTAGAGCACAGTCTGTTGTTTTAATCTAGCCTAGCGCGCCATCTGCTGTTTAAAAACTAGCCTAGAGCGCCATCTGCTGTTAAACACTAGCCTAGGGCACAGTCTGCTGGACAATTTACACTTTTAAGTGAAATATAGGTGTTTTAATAGGGTTTTTAGCAGTGTGGGACACGCATACGACTGTCAACAGCTCAAAAAATGTTTTTTTGGTGTTTCACGACCCTTTAAAAACTAGCCTAGGTTGCCGTTTCATTTAAGAAACTAGCAAATAACATCATTTTTTTTGTTAAAAACTTAGCTCAGAATCGATTCCAATGAGAACAGCGATTCATTTTGCAAATCTCTGAATCAATGCAGATCCATTTGTCAAACATTATTAATCAACACTATAATCATCAGACTGTCATTAAGATGCTGTGTGTTTTTCTAGTTATTACTAGGAAAGTTTGTACGAACTCAGACGTCCATCACAGAGAGCAGTGCCACATACAAGAGCAAAAGTGAGAGAGTAAGTCTGAAATCCCTTCATACACATTAGGAGTGTGTGCAGCTAATGTAACGAGGCACATGAACTTAAATAAATAAGCTTAAATAAACAAGTAATACTGCTATAAGTATAATGGAGCCTTGCTGTTATATTGCAGGGCAGCAGTTGGACCCTTATCGATGTTCCTGGTCATGAAAGTTTAAGAACTCAGATTGTTGAGAAGTACAAGGATGTGGCACGGTAAGATATGATGCCTTCAGGCTGATTTATACTTTTGCATCAAACGCCGGCGTATGCTACGGCGCTGACGCATAGCCCTTCGCCGTGGCCATGGCCGTCGCTGACGTGCACCTCTCAAAAAATGTAACTACACGTCGCAACAACGCGTACCGCAAGCTCTGTGATTGGTCGGCTTGGTAGCGCTGACGAGTCTGGGCGGGACCGAGAGCCGCGCGAATGGCGCAAACCCAATGTAGCGATTGTTTACAAGTGTGGAGTCCCGTGAAGGAGCTCCGGATGGAAAGTTTTGTTTTGTGTTTACCTCATAGTTAAAGTTGTTGCACGTCCGCCGGTTCCTGCCTCAAAATGAGTGAGTTTGAGCCACTTGTACATCCAGGAAGTGTTCAGGAAAAGCAAAAAAGCAGCGAAGAAACTCGACACAGAGGAACATTTACACCTCACTGCCAACTAGCGTTTCGGAAGTGTTAATGCAGACCAGCAGAGACAGCGCGCAGAAGTATAAATGCACAGCCACGCGCGTTGCATGCGCCGTGGGTTACGACGGTCACCTGACGCAGAAGTATAAATCAGGCTTTACTGATTAGTGCCGAACTCATGTCTGCCACTGGGACGTAATCATTAATAAAGTTAAGTGTTCATAGTGAGCTGTTTTCTTTGGGCGAAGCAGTGGCGCAGTAGGTAGTGCTGTCGCCTCACAGCAAGAAGGTCGCTGGTTCGATCCTCGGCTCAGTTGTCGTTTCTGTGTGGAGTTTGCATGTTCTCCCTGCGTTCGCGTGGGTTTCCTCCGGGTGCTCCGGTTTGCCCCACAGTCCAAAGACATGCGGTACAGGTGAATTGGGTAGGCTAAATTGTCCGTAGTGTATGAGTGTGTGTGTGGACGTTTCCCAGGGATAGGTTGAGGCTGGAAGGGCATCTGCGGCATAAAAGCTTGCTGGATAAGTTGGCGGTTCATTCCGCTGTGGCGACCCCGGATTAATAAAGGGACTAAGCTGACAAGAAAATGAATGAATGATATTTTGTCCATATCGCCCAGCACCCTAGGTACTACGGCAAATTTAGCTTATTCAATTCCCATATAGCACATGTCTTTGGACTGTGGGGCAAACCGGAGCACTAGGAGGAAACCCATGCCAACACAGGGAGAACATGCAAACTCCACACAGAAATGCCAACTGACCCAGCTGGGGCAATTCTGTATAGCAATTTCTCCTGGTCAGAAACGCAACAAGACATCAGTTTATTGCTGTTCAGTGTGTTTCACTGATGTATCGCTGATGAGTATTAAGGCTTTCACCGTCTTTGGTTACTGTGCGCTAGGGCAGTGGTTCTCAAAGTGGGGGTCGGGACCCCCTGGGGGGTCGCGTAACAATGACAAGGGGTCGCTTGGTGATTTCCAAAACTCAAATAAGTTTTATTAAACTATTTGAATGACCATATTTTACTCATAACCCACAGAGGTTAATAGTTGTGTTAAATAAACAACAACATACAAATTACACAAAAACAAAATTATTACTATATTATTATTATCTATTATAAACAAATAAAAATCAGTCATTAGCCTTTACTTTTTATATTACAAATTAATAAATGAATATAAAAAATATATATGGTTAATAGACTGTTGCATTTATGTGTTGTCAATGTGCTCATGTTTATACATGCCTATAGTTGTGTCTACAAGGTTTATATTTACAGTGTAACCACCTTGAAAATTGGGGGTCGCGAATCACTGACATTGTTATTTTGGGGGTCTTGGGCTAAAAAGTTTGGGAACCCCTGCGCTAGGGTATCAGATTGTTTTGTTTCAGTAAATGTCAGGCATCATAAAAGTGCCCTTTTTTTCTTGGCTGCCCGAGTGTCTGAAACATTATTGCTGGATTTCACTCTTCTGTTGTGTTGCAGAGCCATCGTGTTCGTGGTGGACAGCAGCATCTTCCAGAAGGATGTCAGAGATGTGGCTGAGTTTCTCTACTCCATCCTCACAGACAGCATCCTGGCCAAAAATGCCCCAACACTGGTGGTGGCCTGCAACAAACAAGGTTAATAATAAAATGCTCTCAACAGCAGAGTTTCCCAACCCAGTTCCTGGAAACACACCAACAGTACATAATTTCAATCTCTTCCTAATCAAACACGCCTGAATCAACTCAGCAGAACATTAGAAGAGACTCCAAAACCTGAATAGGTCAGATAGGAGAGACATCCAAAATATGTGCTGTTGGTGTGCCTCCAGGAACAGGGTTGGGAAACACTGATCTACACTGCACTAAATATGCTTTTCGTACTTACTTTTTGTCCAAATATCTAAATTCTTGAATTTAAAAAGCATTTTCTAGACGAGTCAAAAATATTGTTTTGTTTTCAGAAATAATAAGTCAAAATTAAGTGCGTTTCTCCTTAAAAGCAACCCTAATAACCTAATAAAAAGTGAAATAATCTTGTTTTCGTTTTGAAGGAAGATTACGCCGTTGGCTGGTTATTTTGCTCGTGTTAATGAAAAACTCACTTGAGGTTATTTCTGAAAATACCGCTTGATTTAGGAATTGTTAGAAACAAGACGAAAACTCTAAAGCTGTGTTCACACCAGACGCGGTACGCGCGGATAAATCACGCTATTCAAACCCCGCTTCAATCGCGTGTCAAATTCACTTCAAAACAGATGCGGATTCGCGTGATGGGCAGGGCTTCTGTCTGCCCGAAGACTCTAGCTTCATAGCTAAATGGCTAACATGGATTTTATGAAGAAAATAACAGTGTTTATGTGCTTTATGGAGACTAAAAAACAGGGTCGATACGTTTAGGGTCGTGTCTGAGTCCACTACATCCTTTCAGAGGTGCATCCAGCTCTGTGAGCTCATAAACTCCTCCAGAAACTGAACCTGGATCACGGAGGCTTTTAGCTGTGCTTCTGACTGAGCCAAGCCCAGTTTGATGACTTGTTGTCGGTGTCGCCTGGAGGATTTCCTCTGGGACACCATCAACAGGTTCTACGTCACAATAACGCCCCCACAAGAGCAAGCTTCTGATTGGTTAACGCGGCGCGAATGTCTGTTGAAGTTCAGATTTTTGAACTCGAGAGATTCGCGCGAAACGTTTGTTAAGCACGTCAAACGCACAAAACGCTCAATTCGCCTCCCGCGTATCTCGCTATTCACGCCGCGCCATTTGCGCAATTCGCGTAATTCGCTCCGCGCCATTTACGCCGCAGGATGTCTATTCGCACGTTTGCATTGACTTAACATGTAAATCACTGGCGCTTGACGCGCGTTCTGCGTCTGGTGTGAATGCAGCATTAGAAAAGCATTTGTTTTATTCCATTCCTAGATGCTTTTAAAATTGAGTGAATCTTGATGAGAAATGGACATCCATGCAGATGTTTGATTTTTGACTTTTATTTGAACAAACCAAATGAAAGCTGTTTTTCACATGTAAATAGAGGGATTTCTCATTTCAGGATTGCATTGTCCTTTTCTTCTTCTTGCAGATATCACGATGGCCAAATCTGCCAAATTAATTCAGCAGCAGCTAGAGAAGGAGTTGTGAGTATCTGCTTGTTTCTTTCTCACTAATAAAAGTTCCCATATTATCTTAATATCGTCAATTCAGTTTCAGAACCTGTCTGCATACATTTACATGATTTTAAGATCCACTCTATTTTAGACCATGTAGAAATTGACAGGTGGTAATTATGTGTGTAACTTGCCTTTATTCATTTACTGGATGATTTGTTTATGGGCAAAACAAAGACCATGCAGGTCAGGTAGTTTAAACGGTAGGCTACAAATAATTAATTGGTCATTAATTAATTAATTAATTATTCATAATCGAAAATCGAATCGTGACTTTAGAATCGAAAATGTAATCGAATCGAGGATTTGGAGCATCGTGACACCCTTAATGAACAAGATGGCCACATCTGAAGCACATGTTAGAGAAAGTGTGAGGTTTCTCAGACTCGGATGAGAAAGACTCTACTAGAAGTTCAGTGTTAAGCTGATTTGACAATCTACATTGCAAAAGCACTGCAGAAATAAAGATGAACTGAATTAAATGTGGATGTTTTGCTGTTTTTCTTTGCCTCTGCTGGACAGGAACACACTGAGACTGACCCGCTCGGCAGCGCTCTCCTCTCAGGACGGGGCGGTCGGGGGCTCGGTGTACTTAGGGAAGAAAGGCAAAGATTTCGAGTTCTCTCAGTTGGCCAATCGGGTGGAGTTCATCGAGTGCAAAGCCAGAGGAAGCAAAACCGAGGATGGAGATGCTGACATTGATGCTCTGGAGAAGTGCCTAGCCAAACTCTGAAGATCACACAGCTGGAGTTATTCAGTAACTCAATTCAACTTTTCTTGTTGTTGTCTCTGGATTTCACTCATCATTGCTGTATCAGTGTACATCATGTCCGGATACTGTAGATGCAGCACACAAATCAAACTGAATCAGTGTATAATGCACCCCCCAGGCACCTGTTTGCTTTTTCCTTCTCACTCCAGGGTTTTATTAAAGTTTAAGCTGGAGTCAGGTCAACGTTTACCTTTTATTTTATTTCGCTGTCAATTATATTAAAGATGGATTATCTTGATTTCATGGTGGCCGAGTCTTCAATTTATACATTAACTTGATTAACTATTTTGATTCAAGGCAATTTGTTGCGTCTTCAGAACTACTGATGCCGAATAAATCCTTAGTAAATGTTCCGAAGCTGTAAGCAGTGCTTCAAAAACATGTAGTGGCTTGTGTCCGGCTTTACGGCACCAAAACTGTTGTGAGATTCTAAGACGAGCCAAAAAATTAGGGAGAACTTTCGGGTATCTTCAAAGCAGAATCCTTTAAGAATCCTTTCACAGACATTGACACATGTAGGTGGGGACAGTCTAAACAAAGCATGCAAATGAAGTGTTGTTGTCGGCAGGGTGAATTGCCTTTCCAGTCCCGATCTCATCAGCATATAAGTACCTATTTTAGCATGAAAACAATGTGCAAATGATGTTCTAGAGAGCCGTCTGACCAGTTGACTGGCTTGACTGTTTGTTAGACAATGTCACGGCTGTGCTGTGAAACTGACAATTTGCATTACTTTACGACAGTCAGGGTTCAGGAAAGCAAGAGGTCTGTCACACCCTAAAAACCAAAGAGTATAACTTTTCAGTTAAATATAGATTATTGCTAATTTGGAATTGGGCTATTTAAATTTATATTCCCATACTTGGAACTATTGAATTGGTTTAACCTAATTTTCTAAGTATGCACACAGTTTATTTACACTGTAAAAAGTGATTAGTTACTTAAAGAGTGTAAACCAATTAACTTTAAAGCAACAAGTTGACCGTTGACTTGATAATAATTTGTGTAATAATGTAACCCATTTTGAACTTGGAACTGTTTTGTACACACTTTGCAAAAAGAAAGAAAATGAATTACTTTTTCCAATACACCTTTATTTTACACACACATATATATATATATATATATATATATATATATATATATATATATATATATATATATATATATATATATATACACATACATACATATAAATACATTATATATATATATATATATATATATATATATATATATATATATATATATATATATATATAAAAATGTATGTATATATTTGTATATATATATATGTGTGTGTGTGTATATAAATGTATGTGTGTGTGTGTGTGTGTGTGTGTGTGTATATATATATATATATATATATATATATATATATATATATATATATATATATATATTTATTTATTTATTTTTTTTTTTTGGCTTTTCTGTATCTAGCAAAATATCGTACAGTAAAATAAATCTGCACTTCTAACTTCAAGTTCTAAGTTCTGTGTGTCGTTTATTAAGTCTGAGCTTTATATGTTTTCTATTGGATTCAGCTCAGGTGATTGGCTGGGCCATTCTACAGCTTGATTTTCTTTCTCTGAAAGCATCTGAGAGTCTCCTTGGCTGTGTTTTGGATCATTGTCTTGCTGAAATGTCCACCCTGGTTTCATCTTCATCCTCCTGCTAATGTAGATGTTGGACTGAAGCAGCTGATATTCATTTACACTGAGGCAGGGCAGAGCGATGCTGAAGAACTACTGAGAGATTTCAGCTGCTGTCTGGGCTTTCACTGCTAAACTACACCTCACTTTCTTCATGTGTTCAAAACTTTACCCCTCTGTCATTTAATTTTATAACACATAACTAGGCCCACACGGAGTCTGTGCGTGCAGATTTTTAGCCCCTCATTGATTCTGTTTATTTACTTGAGTAAATGTGTGTAAATGTATATTTATTCAGTTTTTTAATTAATTTTCAGTAATATTATTGACATGAATTTGTTAATATAATTTATTCACAATACAGTTTGTCTATTATATGAGAGACTTCCTTTGTTTACCAAATAAAGATATAATATAATTGGATTTGCATTGTAAACATTAAATACAAGTTTAATAGTTTATTTCATATATTAAGGTTTTAGTTATGATACTCCCAATTCTGCATAAAACTGCAGATTTTTAACAAAATTTTGCGTAAAAATAGCAAAAAATGTCCACAGAATCCGTCTGGCCCTACTCATAACTCATTTGTAAACTATTTAGATTTGTTTTCTTTGCCTATATGGATTTCTTTGGTTATTACCAACATCTGGGGAACATTTCAAGTCAACGGCACCTTTAGAAATATGTTCTCTGAGAAAAATGGTGATGTTCAATCTTTCCAATATTTAACACAGATTTGATCCTTCGTAATAGTTGTGCATGCACTTAAATTCACATCTATGCAGGTACATCCTGCAGGTTCTGATAACTAATTTTCCTTCCTATATTTGGAAATCTCAGCACTTCTTTATCATGGTATACACAGGAATCATGGCGGTAAATACATTTTAAGACCTTTTTAAGACTTTTTCACACATTTTAGGATATCATCGCCAGTTTAAACACTGTAAAAATATCTGTGTTAACAGTTTTCTGTATTTTGTTTCATGTTTTTATTTTTCCCCATTTATTTATGATTTGAATTGCATTATAAGAGCTTGATCTTTCTTCCTACAACTTTTAGCTGTGACTTTTTTGAACGTGTAATGGTGTTATTACGCTATGAAAACCTTGTAATAAACTGCCAGCACATTTTACAGACTTATCTAGATATTATTTCTCATGCATTACATTCCTTTAAAAATGTCAATAACAGTCTCTTTGTTAAACTGTAGAGTTGAATTTTCAACATCGGTGTCGACAGAGCACATATCAACATCTCATAATGCAATTCACAACCGTTGAAAAAATTGCTTCACAAACCACACAAGTCACAGTGTGAAAATGCCCAAAGCAGATCAACGAATAAGCAATGAGATAAACGTGACAATTTAATTCATGTAAAAGATTTCACAGATCAAATACATCCCATAACATGTTCACATGTACATTAAAGGCACAGTTCACCCCAAAATTTTAATTCCGCTCTCATTTACTCCATCTGTTATAGTTATAAACCTATTTGAGATTCTTTTTTTCTGTTGAACACTGAAGAAGACGTTATGAAGAAAGCTGGAAACCATTGATTTGTTTTCCTACCCTGGTCAAACCGTGCATATGTTAAAGTAGTCTGATTTAAGTCCTGTTGCTTTGATGATGAAAGCGAGAGAGCCGGTGACACAATCACACAATATCCTCTAAAAACTGCATTGCCTGAACTCCTGTCTAAGAGCGGACTCCTGCATTCGGCTTCAACGTGAAGGGACTACAATCGGGCTACATTCACACATGCACAGAGAACTGTTTGAGCAGATTGTGGATTAAAGCTAATAATATAGCAAATTGCATTACATTTTTTGTCATCAGGAGCCTCAGCTATTTATTTGGACTCATTTGTATGTGTTTATTTTTAATCTAAAAAAACCTGTCACCACTGCCATCATATCAATCAGCAAGGAGAACAGATTCAGCTCAAAATCTTTATCAATGCTCTACTAAAGAAGAAAAAGTGACCTACGTCTTGGATGACCTTTGGGTGAGTGAATTTTTGTGTGAACTATCCCTTAAAAAGTCAGCTTTTGAGATCATTTATGACCAGGCTTGACATTAACACCTACCAAATGTGGGTGGATTTTATCTGTGGCGGGATAGACAGTCGCTCCCACTAGCCACTTTGGCTGGTTGAAGATCCTTTTTAAATGATAGCTTTCTTAAAGGGTCACGAAACACCAAAACACATGTGTTTGAGCTGTTGACAGTGGTATATGTGTCCCACACTGTTAAAAACACTATTAGGACACCTATATTTCACTAAAAAGTGTAAATTAAATGTTTTTGCGTTATTTCAAGCAAATTCGTACTTCCGGTTTGTAACGAATTTTTGAAGCTGCGTCACGGTCATGAGATAATAGCGTGTATTCCAGCGTGCAGACTGGACGTCTGTGCCAGAGTGAGTCTTATTACGTCTTACAGTGTGATGCATTAATGCATGAGTAAGGCTTGGTTCAAACCAATCAGCGCGCTCTATTGTGCAACTTCATTAATATTCATTACTGTCACAGTGTTTACAAGACAGAGACGCCACGTTGTGTTGGCAAAACAAGCGTGAAGTGTTGCTTTTATAGTTTGCTGCAGTTCAGTTTTGTTTTCATTTTCTCTCTGTGAGAGCTCAGCTAGAGTCACGTGTGGATTAACAGTGTACGCGACGCTCGACAACAATAACTTACGTGTCTAAGGAGGATTATTGTTTACCTGAGAGCTGTTCTCATCTGCAAACGCTGAGATCCAGATTGTAGTCCCCTCTAAATAAAGACGCGGCTCTAGTTGCTGTGGATTGTCCTGTCTCTACAGATTTGGTAAGTGGGTGACCAGTGCTCTTTGTTTATTCAGTTCGTATTTTATTCGTATCAAACAAACTATTGCACCGAGTGCAATAGTTAGCACTAACAGTTACAACCAAACTATAACCTCGTGTTGGATTTTGTGACCGGAATAACACACGCGGCTTTCTGACGCTACCTGCCGTGTGTATCTAAGTTTCCGGGAAATGCTGAGTTTTTCTTTCTCTCATTCGCCGTGCGGTATCAAACATTGCATGAAAAATACACGCTTAGAGCAGCTCCTCGAATCAAATATCACGTTTGTCGCGAGGGACATGAATGAATTCCCTGAATGAAAGAGCCAAACTGCAGTTAAAGTCCACCATTTAATAATTTGGCAAATAATTCGACTACAGATGTCCATGTAAACACAGTCACATTGTCCGCTGTGTGTGTGTGTGTGTGTGTTTTGACTCTGAAATTCAGCGCGCCCAAATAGACACTCCCACACCAAGCCGCTTTTCTTCCTCCGACACTCCCTCCTAAACAGAGCTGGACACGCCCACTTTTCTGACTTTTTCCAAAGTAGAGGTGTGAAAACACCCTGCTGAAACGAGGGGGTTTCATGGCCCTTTAAAGAGCAGAGTTCAACAATAGGGATTGTAATGATGAGGCAATAATAGCTGTTTGTTTGAGCAAAAGAACAGATGAATACAGAATGAGAGGATGCTCAAGCGCATGGTGAGAGACAGGGAATCTAGAAGCACTGATAAGGGCTGATTTCAGCTGATGTGATTCCTACTGAAAAAAAAAACAGCTTAAACCTGGTCAACCAGGCTGGTTTTAAAATGGTTTTGGCCATTTTCAGGCTGGTTTCCAGCTATTACCAGCATGGTCTTAGCTGGTCAGGCGAGAGCGGTCTGGATGCAGACCTGGTTCATTGCAATCTGAGCTGCATCCAATGCATTTTAATGCGCTCACCTAACCCCACCCCCAAACCATACCTGTGACAGTGACGTCACTCACTCCATTGAGTGCATTGTGTCTGACTTTGCATCGCTGAGTGAAGCAATCTCAGCTTGCATCATAAAAGCTGCATCCAGATACTATTGGGGTCAGGCTGGGAGATGACCAGCTAAAACTAGCATGACCAGCCTAGGCAGGCTGGGAGGCCAGCCAAAACCAGCTATGTCCAGCTTAAACCAGGCTGGTCAATCTGATTTTAGCTGGGCATTTTTTAGCCTGACCAGCTAAGACCAGGATGAAAACCCGTCTAAAACCAGGCTGGTGTTTCGGAGGCCAGCTAGTAGGTGCTGTGCAAGTAAACCTCACTCCTCTGACCTCTAAAAGTGCTCTAGCGACAGACGCTAGAGGCTATGGTCTTTAGCCTCCTTGTTAGAGCAACCGACTCCTATGCGGAAGGTCACCGGTTCGATTCCAACTCGAAGTGGGTTGGGTGGCATAGGACCGGTGGGGTTATATTGGTGCCGTGACCCTGATGGGATTGAGGTTTAGGGTGTGAGTGTAACGGAGGCCAGCTAGTAAGTGCTGTGCAGGTAAACCTCACTCCTTTGACCTCTAAACGTGCTCTAGCGACAGACATTAGAGGTCATAGTCTTTAGCCTACTTGGTAGAGCACCCAACTCCCATGCGGAAGGTCGCCGGTTCGATTTCAGCTCGGAGCGAGTTTGGTGGTGTAGGACCAGTGGGGTTACATTGGTGCCGTGACCTGGATGGGAGTGAGGTTTAGGGGGTTGAGTGTAATGGAGGCCAGCTAGTAGGTGCTGTGCAAGTAAACCTCACTCCTCTGATGTCTAAAGGTGCTCTAGCGACAGACGCTAGAGGTCATGGTCTTTAGCCTCCTTGTTAAAGCAACCGACTCCCATGCGGAAGGTCGCCGGTTCGATTCAAGCTCGGAGCGGGTTGGGTGGCATAGGACTGGTGGGGTTACACTGGTCAATTAGATACAACCAGACTAGGCTGGTTTAAGCTGGATTTTTTCAGCAGGGATGCACGCGAGTGTTTAACAGTTTCAAAAAGAAATGGTTTCTTGCGCAGACCCCCTGTGCCTGGAATCGTAACTGGTGCCATCGGTTCTCTTTTAAATAGACTTAACAATGAGCAACGCTCGTGTTCCCACAGTCCTGCTGCTTTCAAGAGCTCCAGGTTTTTTAAAGGTTTTCTTGTAAGCAGCAGGTTGCTTTCGCTATAACCTTAGATCATGATCATCCTTTCATTATCGCACACACGGTATGTGTTTCACCTGCTTTCTTTTGCTTCCAGTTATTTTTCACTGAGAATTATTTATTTTTTTACTTTCTTTTAATTTTGGGTGTAAGAAAGTGAAAAAAAGGTCAAGCCATAGTGTTGAGCCCTGAAAAGTGATGTGAAATAAAAACGAATTACAATGCGACACTATGGATCCACAACCCCTTTGCTCATGCTCATTGAGCAAGGTCATACACAGCACACAAAGCAAGGCATGTGGACTCATTTTAGCATGCCAAATTATATGCATATAAGTGAAGTTTATAAACCAACTTCGAGGATCTTGTGCGTACGATTACTTGCAGCCGGTCCCGCATTATTCAATTTATGATTCACCAATCAGACGATTCCTAAGCCACTATAAATGCCCTAGGTTTTATACCACAGCCATCTTCATTTTGAAGAATCCCCCCTTCCACCCCTACTCCTCCTCCTTTTCTAGATGGGTGGCCCAGTGGTTAGCACTGTTGCCTCACAGCAAGAATGTAACTAGTTCTAGTCCTAACCAAGTCAGCTGACATTTCTGTGTGGAGTTTACACGTTTTCCCCGTGCTTATGTGGGTTTCGGGTTCCCTGGTTTCCTCCCACTGTCCAAAAACATGCAACTTAAGTTAATTGACTAATCCAAATCGGCACCATAGACATGCTCCTAGTAAGTAGTTATCTCTTAAGAGCGATCACTATCTGTTCATTAGATACCACAGCAGGGGAGTTCTCCAGATCTACCTGAGCTCAAACTCCCCTCTCACCTTGCAACAGGAGCGAGCCCCAGGCTCAAGGATCTTAGGAGCTCAAGGGCTCTCTCCTGGGACAGCATGCCAAACAGGCTTTATAATCAATCATCAGCTAAGGGTGAACTCTTGAAAATATATTTTCCCAACAGCAAAATTGTGGCTAGTGAAAATGGCGAGTGGCTAGTAATGTTGGACAACTACTAGCCATAGTGGCTGGTGATCAAAACAGTGTCAAGCCCTGTTTATAATAATTTACAAAAACTGACACTTGTGAAATATTTTCTCCAGTGTTCAACAGAATACAGAAACTCCTAAAGGTTTGGAAGCACTTGAGTAAATAGGGAGTGGATGTTCATTGTTGGGTGAATGAACCCTTTAAAGCTGATCCAGTGAATACACAGTAGGGCTGGGACGTTGGTCCGTCACCAGCAGACTCTTCTTTCCTTTTAACACAGCTGGACAAATCCAGTTCACCTTCTCTCCATGCTGAAAGGTCAATTTGGGCTCGTTTTTCCCGCCCGCTGTCTCTGAACTACAGGAAGAACTGCTGGCTTCCTCTTCCTCGCTCTTCGTGTGGGTTGCTTGAGCTTCCGGCTTTTTCTTGGCTCTGCCTTTCTGTCTCCTTTTGTGTCCTTTACTCTTTCTGGCCAACACATCCTCTCTGCTGATGTCCCAGAGAGCCACGAGTCCATCGTTTCCTCCGGTGGCCAACCAGTACGGCTGTGACAGGAAGTTAATAAAGCGAGCCTGCGACGCTCCCTGACTATGAGCCTTGAACATCGCTCGTTCCCGCAGCCTGGAGTCTTCAGACACGCGCAAGAGATGCACATACCCGTCCTCAGCCGCACACGCAAACACGTCACCACAGGAAGTGACATCAATGCAGTGCGCCAGGGGGGGGTTGAACATCTGTCCTGCTTTCTGCGGATGAGCATCTTCTTCCTGCGTGTCCTGCAAACTGTAGGTCCAGAGCGGACGCACTTTCGGCAGGTTCCACAACGATACCTGCGAGATTAGAGGAGATCATTACGTTATTTATTCCTGACTACAAAACCTTATGTCTTAAGCCTGGTTTATACTTCTGCGTCAAGTGACCGGCGTAACCCACGGCGCATGCAACGCGCATAGCTGTGCATTTATACGTCTGCGCGCTGTCTCTGTTGGTCTGCATTAACATTTCCGAAACGCTAGTTGGCAGTGAGGTGTAAATGCTCCTCTGTGTCGAGTTTCTTCGCTGCTTTTTTGCTTTTCCTGAACGCTTCCGGGATGTACAAGTGGCTCAAACTCGCTCATTTTGAGGCAGGAACTGGCGGACGTGCAACAACTTTAACTATGAGGTAAACACAAAACAAAACTTTCCATCCGGAGCTCCTTCACGGGACTCCACACTTGTAAACAATCGCTCCGTCGGGGTCGCGCCATTCGCGCGGCTCTCTGTCCCGCCCAGACTCGTCATGGCTACCAAGCCGACCAATCACAGAGCTTATGCTACGCGTCGTTGCGACATTTAGTTACATTTTTTGAGAGGTGCACGTTAGCCACGCCGACGGCCACGGCGTAGGGCTATGCACCAACGCCGTAGCATACGCATGCGTTTGACGCAGAAGTATTTATGTTGCATGGGTGAACCTACACCGGTCTCACGGTTCGATTCCATTACCCTTATCATGCTATCGATTTGGTTCAATTTGATATCTCTTCAATACATTATATTTTACTTCACAACAACAGAGAATTCTTGTATTAACACAGCCTAACAGCAAGAAGGTCGCTGGTTCGAGCCTCAGTTGGGTCAATTGTAGGGCTGCAACAATAAATCGATTAAATCGTTAAAAATCTATTGCTAATAGCGCTGGCAATGAATTTCATAATCGATTCGTTGTATCGTGCGACACGGGGATGTTCGATTATTAAAAAACACTTTAGTTAAGCACGGAGCGGAGTGAACACGGTCTCTCTCGCGCACTGATACAGAGTTTGGCGCCTCATAGACAGGGATGAGGAGGACGGGAGTTCAACAGCAGGGTCCTACTTTTGTTCCGTTTTGAAGTGAGGAGCGTAAAGTCCCTGGTGCTGATGTTTTACACGTTATCCAGCCTGACAAGCATGACAAGTTAGCGTTAGCTTGTTTACCTTCAGGGCGGCAACGGAAAAAAACAATTTGAGCTTTGGGGCAGTGTCCAGCGCTGAGCCAGAGAGAGCTCGCGCTGAGCAGAGCTCTCAGTAAGGGAGCGTCGAAAAATTTCGTCTTTTTTTTTGTAAACAAAACCAACTTAACCCCGCTGAGAAAGACGTTCAATCTAGTAGCAAGCAACAGCAAAGTACAATTTCAGAGTTGTTTGCTGAAATAATTGAATATCTTTTAAGCATTTTAGCAACAAGAAGCTAAAATACAGATGATTGAATTATTGACTTGACCGTAAAATTAAATCGCAAATCAATTCAAAATCGCAATATGTAAAAAAAAAAAAAAACTATTTAAATAAAAATATCACAATTAGATATTTTCCTCAAATGGCACAGCCCTACTTCACATCTCACCTGCATGTCAAGCCCTGCAGACACTAAACTCTGAGGCCTGTGCGGTCGGAAGGTCACGGACGAGCAGATGTTGTCGTGTTTGCGCAGCGTCCTGACCACTTTCTCCTGCTGTAGATCGATGATCCTCACGGCTCCAGAATCATCGGCTGCAGCGAGCGCACCACCGGCCTCATTCACCGACACACAGTTTATCTCCTCCTCACCTGCATCTGCCAGCTCTGCCACAGCGCTCTTCAGATTCCTGCTGTCCAGTACAGCGACAGTCCGTCCGTAAGAGGCGTACAGCATGCAGGGCGCTGACGGGGAGAAAGCGACACACGTGACATCATCGTCAGCGCTCATGCGCAGTTTGGACACGGGCGACCCATCGTGACTCCACAGGGTCAGTTCACCTCCTTCTGCTCCGGTCGCCACTAAACTCTCCGATTCACAGGACACTCCGGCACAAAGAATAGATGTGCCATGACCACCAGTCCATACGCAGGACATCCTAGACACACACGGGGATTAGTTCACAATGGAGATATCAGCCAAGCTGTGCACTGCTCATGCCAATACAGACTCAAAACAATTTATTAGTTAAACATGAATTACCTGACAGTAATTTCAGACTTTAAAAAAATAGATAAAAACTATATAGACCTTCACAAAAGTCTTGTTGCCTATCCAAGTTTAAGGAACAACAAATAATAACTTGACTTCTAGTTGATCATTTGGTATCAGAAGTGGCTTATATGAAAGGCAAAGGCCTCTACCCCAGACATGCTCAATAATGTTCATGTCTGGTGACTGGGGATGCAAAAATTAACTGATTTCACTATTAACTGCAATTTAATTTGTCACGGTTAATTAATATCATAAAGATTTCTTTACACTTCTTAAAACTTTCTTAACAGTTTGCACTGCAACTAAACAAAGTTATTAGGCAGGACAGCTTTAACGTGGAGTGAGAAGAGAGATGAGGGTACAATGGGAAAATGACACAAGGGAATAAACAGAATTTACTTCAGATTTCTTTTTAGATCTACTTTAAGGTGTCGACCATATCCTGACCATCCAAAAGAGTCAAAGTGGCACCAGCCGGGTTTCTGCAGGTTTCACCAAATTAAATTTAAGACATTTTTAGGACCATTCTAAAATTTTTAGACCTATTCAGGGCTCAACGCTAAGGATTTTAATTTGAATATCCCAGTTGGAAAAGATTTTCACTTACACTATCAAAAGATATTCATGAAATTATTTTATTTATTATTAATTAATGAAATTGTTATAATTTAATTAACATTTAATAACACAATAATAATTTAATTTAAAAAATCTAGGTCAGGTCAGAACCCTCAGCAGTAAATAAACGGAAAACTTCTAAGCAAATGGAAAGTAATTAAATGCTATTTTTAAATAAAAAGTTTAAAGTTTTATTGCGATTGGGATTCTTGGTGATTGTGTTAATGGACAGATTGGGTAGCTATTCATGATCAAAGGAAAATTAAGACCTGTTAAAAAAAGATTTAAGACCTACAACACTATATTCATATATTCACTAGATTTAAGACTTTTTAGGGCCTAAAATTAAGATTTTGAGATTTATGACATTTTAAGAGTTTTTAAGACCCCTCAGATACCTTGACCAGACTAAATGTGACATATATATATATATATATATATATATATATATATATATATATATATATATATATATATATATATATATATAAATGTGTGTGTATGTACATATATATATATATATATATATATATATATATATATATATATATATATATATATTTATTTATTTTTATTTTTAAACGAGGAGTCCTATTTAGCGCCTGGAATGTTAATTATATAACAATTTATTTATCTATGTTGTTTTCTTTTTTAGTAACTAATATTTCAGAGCTAGAAATTCAGAAGTTAATTTCTGTTATTGTGTCTGTCAACTTTTTTATTTCACCAATGAGTTACTAAAATTACAGTCAGTAAACTGAAAAGGCGATACTAATATTACATAAAGAAGAAAAGGCGATAGTACTAATTCATAACGACATGAAGCTTAATCATTAAACAGTCGATTAATTATGTAAGTTATACAAGTTAAGTTTGGCGAGTTTTAAAGGTGAAATTAGCTGCTCTCTGTTTGTAATGTAGGTTGGATTGATTTATAGATTTTTATCAAATGAATGAACTGTTAATCGGAGTTTGTAAACACATGAAACCTGAAACTCAATCACATTCACTGCAACTTTTAACCACTAACGTTAGCTAAGGTTATTTGGCATGACATTAAATGAAGCGAATTAAATAATGTATGTTATTATATTCTTGTCCACAACATCACTCACGTCATGTTCTTTAGCTAAAAAAAAACGCAAATCGATTATAAACAGACCTCACAAACCTTCAACGAGCTCCAGCTACTCCGGTGCGAGTTGTTGACGTATGGTCATGTGTCGCTTACTGATGACGTCGCATGCGTCTGATTTTTATCACGCAAATACTAAAACATTTTTTTTTGTTTCTTCCGAATACGTTTTTTGGAGCCTAATAGCCTACAATTATAGTAAAAAAAAGAATTTTTGTTTGATAAAAAAACTGCCATTTATTGATGTTAAAAATGCTAGCAAAAAACATCATTCATACATTTGCATTTTCCTTAAAACGCAATCCCTGTCTACTGTTTTTAGGGATTAATATTCAATAACTAGAACTTTGTCGGGTGGCTTAGTGGTTAGCACTGCAAGAAGGTCGCTGGTTCAAGTCCCGGGTGAGTTGACGTTTCTGTGTGGAGTTTGCATGTCCTCTGTGCTCTGGTTTCTACCACAGTCCAAACACATTCACTATAGATAAATTGAATAAACCAAATTGGACATAGTGTATGAGTCTGTATGAAAGTGTGTGGGTGTTTCCTAGTACTGGGTTGCAGCTAGGGCATTCACTTTGTAAACATATGCTAGATAAGTTGGTTCTGCTGTGGCGACCCCTGATGAATAAATGGACTAAGCCGAAGGAAAATGAACGAGAACTTTCTCAATTTTAAAACTTTTTGCTGCTGTAAATGGGCTAGAAAGTTTAACCTGGTGTTACAAAATCTGCTGCATCTGACAGTATTGCTGTGCCTTTAGTATAATGTAATTACCCGAGAAGTCGCAATCCAATAGAACTAGTAACTATAATCTACTATAGTAACTATATAGTTTATAGTAACTATAAACGACAATTTTTTCTCATCAGTAGGTTATTGAAAAATACAGTAAGTCTTAAGGTTTAATAAAAATTAATTTTTGAAAAATCACCAGGCGACCCCCCTTCATTGGGGGTCCCGACCCCCACTTTGAGAACCTCTGATCTAGATCAGTGTCCAAAAAGATGCCGCTGAATGAGCCAGCATCCGAAGCACGAGACTGTGTTATATTGTGACACATGCACTTTCACACCCTTGCGACCTCTTGCTCTCACTCATCTGACACTCATCTCATTACTCTGCATTAGAGCGTGTCCTGCCTGTTTGCTGTAAGTACGCTTTTAAATTCTCTGTAGATGTTTGTGGACTTTTTAGAAAAATGTTGTTGTTATACTCCTTTAAATGTTTTAAAGAAGTTAAAAACAGGCTAATTAGGATTTTGTTTTGCAAATGCTTGTATGTGTTCTCCAAAAAGAAAGTAGATTTTGTAGAAATACCATCATAACAAGACCATCAAATGTTGTGTTGATTCACAGTGAACAGTACAGCTATCTTCAACTAACATCGTCTAGCAAATTTAGTTTTTGTTTATTTCATATAAACGAAGTTGTGCTGAAAAACAACTGCTGTGAAGATATAACCCTTGCAAAGCTTGTCGGGTTTTGCTTTTCAGCTGCCAGTTGAGTTAACAGCCTTTTGTAAAAATGCTGACATGAACTGCACTGCGTGTTGCGCTACCCAGCGCTCTTTCTTTTGACACAATAGTTCTCACTGAGTCTGAGCAAATGTCACACTTTCTGCATGTATTCTGTGTGTCTGTGCATTTATTTAAAACAGCCCTGAGGTCAGTTTGTTAATAAAATAAACTAACAAATGTGTTATTACAAACCCGTTCTGTAAGTAATACAAAATTAAATTAAAAATTGCAAACAACAGAATGAATACAATGGGGAGCAAATACTGGTTCCTAACTGTGTTAATTAAATTTGCATTAGATTTATTGTAGATACTTCAGTTATTCAATGAAGAGCTGGTTTTCTCGTGTCTCTCTTGTTTGATATATGTCACTAGCCTGACGTTCCGGGGCTTTTGTGTCTTCCTGTGGGCTTTATGCACAGCAAGTGTTTATTAGCCACCGATAAAGTTCTGGTGGAAGATTTCAGTGACTTATGAGTTACATAAGGTTCCTTTTACAGCATTGATGTTAAACAGACTTAAGCGTTCACTTACTGTAGTTGTTCAGGCATAAAACTAGATGTAAGAACAAACGCAAGTGCCATCAGGAGCAGCAGGCAGGTACTGAACATTTAAAGAATTTAAAGACATGACGTGGAACAATGGAATTTAATGCAGCTCTTCATTGTCCGTTGTGAGACTTTACATTTTATGTCAATCAAGCAGTGAAGTTCCTTCCCAGCTCGCAAAATTCATGTGGCTCGAATCTGGCCCACACCAGACACTTACATCCGGCCCACATACCACATGGAATGATGGCACTTGGGCGATCGGCTCCTGTTTGCCAGATCTGGGCCACAATTAAACCAAAGCAATATCACGTTAGGGAGAATTCAACCAAATGAACCAGAACTGACCCTATTCTGGGCCACAGTTTGCTTTTGTTCTGGCCCAGATCCGGTCCACACCAGACACTTACATTTGGGCCACATATATGTCAGGCAGAATTCAACCAAATGAACCAGAACTGACCCTATTCTGGGCCACAGTTTGCTTTTATTCTGGCCCAGATCCAGTCCACACCAGACACTTACATTTGGGCCACATACTGAATGGAATGATGGCTCTAGGGCGGTCCGATCCTGTTTGTCATATCTGGGCCACAATTAAACCAAAGCAATATCACGTTAGGCAGAATTCAACCAAATGAACCAGAACTGACCCTATTCTGGGCCACAGTATGCTTTTATTCTGGCCCAGATCCGGTCCACACCAAACACTTACATTTGGGCCACATATATGTTAGGCAGAATTCAACCAAATGAACCAGAACTGACCCTATTCTGGGCCACAGTTTGCTTTTATTCTGGCCCAGATCCGGTCCACACCAGACACTTACATTTGGGCCACATACTGAATGGAATGATGGCTCTAGGGCGGTCCGATCCTGTTTGTCATATCTGGGCCACAATTAAACCAAAGCAATATCACGTTAGGCAGAATTCAACCAAATGAACCAGAACTGACCCTATTCTGGGCCACAGTTTGCTTTTATTCTGGCCCAGATCCGGTCGACACCAAACACTTACATTTGGGCCACATATATGTTAGGCAGAATTCAACCAAATGAACCAGAACTGACCCTATTCTGGGCCACAGTTTGCTTTTATTCTGGCCCAGATCCGGTCCACACCAGACACTTACATTTGGGCCACATACTGAATAAAATGATGGCCCTAGGGCGGTCCGATCCTGTTTGTCATATCTGGGCCACAATTAACCAAAGCAATCCCACATGTTAGCCAGAGTCCAACCAAATGAACCAGAACTGACCCTATTCTGGGCCACAGATTGCTTTTATGCTGGCCCAGATCTGGCCTGTTACTTCCAATAATGAATTAAGCATTGGAAAACATCAGTGAATTACATTATTTCATCACATATTGTGCCTCACTTTTCAAGCAAAGTTCTTAACAGTTGCAGCAGCCCAGATGAAAATGTATAATAAGAGGTTCAGGGAAATGAGCTTAACCAAAGCAAACACTTTTCTCCATGATGGTGACTTTAGTCTATGTGGTCCACATATGTCTTAAGATAACTGGGCCACATTTGCCAAATCTCCTTTGGGCCACTTTAGGCTCACAGCCACATTAGACAGAGCTAACTTTGCCAAATATTTGGCAAAAGTGGCCCACATTTTTTTTAGGTGAACTGGGCCACATTTGTCATATCTACCCTGGGCCACTACAGGCTCAAATCCACATTAGCCAGAGCTTACAGTGCCGAATATACGCCAAAAGTGGCCCACATATGTTTTAAGACAACTGGGCCACATTTGCCATATTTTCTCTGGGCCACATTAGGCTCACAGCTGTATTAGCCAGAGCTTACGGTGCCAAATATTTTCCAAAAGTGGCCCACATATGTCTTAAGATAACTGGGCCACATGTGCACTTACACGTGTGAGCCACTTTAGGTTTAGACCCAGATTACCCTTAAATGACTATGCCACATTTTTACCAACTGTGGCCCACATTTGTCCTCCATCATTTGGGCCAAATTGATAATTTTCCACATGGGCCACATTAGACTCACATTCAGATTACATTTTGCCACAAGTGCCAAATCTTTGCCTTAAATGGCCCATATATGAATTTGAATCTTTGGCCGCCCTTTGCCATTGTACAGGTGGGCCACTTCAGGCTCATTCATTTAGTCTGGGCCGGAGGAAGACCACCAGTGCCGCACAACTGCCTAAAGTGGCCCACATTCGTATGCTATCAGGGTTGATTTTTAAAGAAACCACCCTCAAAACACAACTGTGTTCAAATTACGTATTTTAGACCTTTCTTTTTGGACTGTCAGACTTATTTGAAATGATGTCTTGTAAGGGTGCAGAATGAAAGTTTTTATGATGCCCTTTTTGGACTTGACAGCCCTAAGGCTGGCTCACACTTTGAATTTTTTTAATAGTCCTGAACTTTGTAGCATGTAGATTGTAGCGTTGAATTAGTGTGTGTGTGGGTGTTTCCCAGTACTGGGTTGCAGCTGGAAAGGCATCTGCTATGTTTTACATGTTTGGCGGTCCATTCCGCTGAGACGACCGCTGATGAATAATGAGATTAAGCCGAAGGAACCCAAATAACAAATTCACTTTTTTACTGAATGTCTTCTCCACCAAAGCTCTGGAATCTATTTCTTGCTTCTGTGTATTCATTATGTAATTTTTTAAGCAATGTTAAAGACAATGCTATTGATAGTGTGGATATTTCCAAGTATATTTTAGAAAATGTTTCATTGATGTCGAATTAATAAAGGAAAAGGAGTACATACTTGAACAGTTTTTGTTTGCTTGTTTTTCCCAGATATATGAGGCTATGGGGTCTCAATACTACCCAGCACGATCCATACTTTTCCAAAAGGAGCCGAGTGGAGTTACATACCGTGTGCCAGCTCTGATCTACATCCCTCGCTCCAGCTGTTTCTTGGCCTTCTGTGAGGAGAGACTGACTCCAGCAGACGCTCAAGCACATCTGCTGGTCATGCGCAAAGGGACGTTTTACAAAAACTATGTGGAAGTAAGACGAGTCAACATAGACACCATAGCTAATTAACAAATGTGTGTTTTCCTAATCAAAGTGATCAACGTTGAATATGTTCTCTTTTCTCTTCAGTGGAAAGACATGGAGGTGCTCAGTACAGCTCGACTGGAGGGCTACCGATCCATGAACCCATGCCCCGTTTATGACGAGTTTACTGACACGATCTTCTTGTTTTTTATTGCTGTCCTGGGGCACACTTCTGAGTCTTATCAGCTAATTACAGGAAAAAACGTGACGCGTCTTTGTTACGTTTCCAGCTGTGACCAGGGGGACACCTGGAGCAACGCTACAGATCTCACCAGGACACTGATAGGGGACACTATAAAAGGTCAAATCTGATAGATCAAATTCCTCTGTTTAAAATATATGAAGGCTCCAATATGCTTAAAGGAGAAGTGTTGTTATATATCATAAATTCAAGCTTGTTCAGAATGCAAAACTGTAGGGGGCAGCTGTGGCCTAATGAATAGAGTCGGACAGGTTCGAGTCCAGTCATCAGCAGGGATTGTAGGTGGTGGGAGTGAATAACTTTCACGATTTTCACTTTCCTTTTTAGAGAGTGTCTTTTACAGTCATTCCAGACTTCAGAATCTGTAAATTCTGTTATTAATTTCTCACCTTCATGTCGTTCCAATCCACTTACACCACAGGTGTCAAACTCAGTTCCAAAAGTGCACAGTTTAGGCCGTACTCACACTAGGTACAGTTGCCTCGAACTGGGCCAAAGCATGCTTGTCCCCCCTCCCGTCTCCCCCGACGGCCCGCGCTCACACCACAAACGGGCTTCGGCACGCTTACGTTATCGCTGCTGCGCTGTTCAGTGAGAAGCGCTCTCTCACTCAGCAGCACAGTGGAGATTTCTCTAGTTATATCGTTTCAGTCGTTTGATATGCCGTCAAATATTTCACCAAACAGTCCTTAGGGATGCGGGGACACGCAGTCAGATATTTCGCCGAACAGATCCGCCACTTTTGGCGCTCATAAACAATCATAAAGCCCTCGTGCTGCAGGAATGAGGAGGTCTGCTGAAGGTGCAGCTGTCGTGCTGTGAGGGGTTTGCGTCTTTAATAAACTACGGCAGTTTGCGTTCACTGAACAGTAAGAATTATTAATAAATCAATATGAAACAGTCCCTTAAAAGTCACGTCTCGCTTTCAGTTTCGGGCTTTGGCGCATTTTGCACTCACACACAAGCGTACCGCGCCAAAGCCCAAGTGAACCGCGCTCAGGCACACCACTTCCAACTGGGCCAGGGCCGGCCAAGTGAACCGTGCCTGATCCTGATTCAGCGCACTCACACTTCTTAAACGATCCGGGAAACGGGCCTGGGCACGGTACGGATGGCATAGTGTGAGTAGGCCCTTAGTTCCAACCCTAATTAAACACACCTAATCAAACTAATTGAGTCAGGCTTGTTTGAAACCTACTGGTAAGAGTGTTGGAGCAGGGTTGGTCATTGTTTACAAGTGTGGAGTCCCGTGAAGGAGCTCCGGATGGAAAGTTTTGTTTTGTGTTTACCTCATAGTTAAAGTTGTTGCACGTCCGCCGGTTGCTGCCTCAAAATGAGCGAGGTTGAGCCACTTGTACATCCCGGAAGTGTTCAGGAAAAGCAAAACAGCAGCGAAGAAACTCGACACAGAGGAACATTTACACCTCACTGCCAACTAGCGTTTCGGAAGTGTTAATGCAGACCAACAGAGACAGCGTGCAGAAGTATAAATGCACAGCGTTGCATGCTCCGTGGGTTACGCCGGTCACTTGACGCAGAAGTATAAATCAGGCTTAACTCCTCACAGGAGTGCCTTCTGGCCTAGCCTGGACTCGAACCAGTGACCTTCTTGCTGTGAGGCAACAGTGCTAACCACTAAGTCACCGTGCCCCCCATCTGTGCAGCTCAAGACTTTAGATTTTTTTTTTTTTATACGTTTTATAAGTTTGCCACATGCACATACACACCCCGGCTGAAAAATCCAGCTTAAACCAGCCTAGGCTGGTTGGCTGGTTTTAGCTGGTTGACCAGGCTGGTTTTAGAGGGGTTTTGGCCATTTTCAGGCTGGTTTCCAGCCATTTCCAGCCTGGTCTTAGCTGGAAAATGACCAGCTAAATCCAGCTTGACCAGCCTGGTTTAAGCTGGACATAGCTGGTTTTGGCTGGACTCCCAGCTTGGCTAGGCTGGTCAAGCTGGTCATCTCCCAGCCAAGACCAGGCTAGAAATGGCTGGAAACCAGCCTGGAAATGGCCAAAACCCCTCTAAAACCAGGCTGTTCTACCAGCTAAA